GAAAGCTGGTCTACTGTTGCTTTTCTTAGCTGAACTCCTCAAAGTCATCACTCAATGGCTCTTTCACCTCTTTTTTTTTTTCCCCCCATGCTTTGGTTATTGTGTATTTTTAGCAGCTGTTTTGGGTGCTACGTGGTATTTGAGAGTTGGTTTTGAACACATGCTGCAGCAATGAAGCACTGCCCACACACATCAGTTCAAGTTACATGACTGTGACAGGGTTTTTGATTTAAACAATTTTAAGCAAACTACTACAGGTGAGCCTTATAGGTAAGAAACTCGTTGCACTGTGTAACTTGAGAGATTTTTATCTAGACACTGTGGCTTTTCATTCCAAGCAGAAACTTCGGCTTCTGGGAAAGGGGGAGATTGGCACCCCCCCCCCCCATAAAAAGGTTACTCTGTCTTTTATTGCAGACCTTTCGGCTGCCAGCCTGGGTGACTCTTTCTGTAGTATCCGCTGGGGAAGTTCCCTGCAGACACTACTGGCGTAATAGCTGCCTTAGTAAGGTCTGAACAAGCTTACCTTTTAAGTGCTTAGTGAAAGCCGGCTGATTATTCTCCCCTGCCGGGGTAAATGGAGTGTTAAGGAATTAAGACATTCTTGAGAAAGGTACAGACTTGGTGTTGGCATACTGATGTATAAAACCTATGGTGTAGGAACACCTCTCGGCCTCTTAATTGCTGAATTAGCTTGTAGAATATCAAGGAACAGCTTCCTTGCTCCTCAGATGGATTTATTCTAAAATGTGACTGAACAATTGCAAAGCACTACAGACTTGTGCTGTGCTACTTGTTTTTGATTTGTGGTAATTGAAGTTTTGTTTCTGGCTGGGAAAGGTGTGCCGCTGCCCTTGCACTGGAATTTGAAAATCCTCCCCGCAAACCTGTGCCAGTAGGACCTGCTGGTTTTGAATGGTCTTGGGAGGGAAGATGACAGAAGGAAGGGCTGTGAACATGATGGAAGCCGATTAATAAGCATGTGGAAAAGTATTGGTGTTTGCTTACTAGTGAGGTGCACAGGGAACCTCCTCAGGCTGCTCCTCTGCCTGCAGGAACTGGCAGGGAGGAGGCTCCAGCAGCACATGGAGATCAGACGGAGCTGCCGAGTGCTGACTGCGGGGAGAGCAGTGAGAGCGTCGCCTGCTCTCTGCTGCTGAGGGATCTGAAGCAAGTTCAGATGGCTCTAAGAGCTGCGGAGGAGCAAGAGGAGGCAGCGGTGGTGTGATGAAAAGGAGCCGTCTGGTAAACAGGAGTGGCTGCCAAGTCAGATGACTTGAGCAGGAACACAAGAGCTGTCTTGAGGATAGCAGGACACCAGGCTGGCTAAGGAAAGAGATGAGTCAGGCAGGGGAGAACAAGAGCAACTGGTTGAGGAAAAGCAGGATGTGGTTGTGAAACAGGGAGCTAGTAGAAATACTGTTGGGTGACAGGTTCTTATTTGCTCTGGGACGTGGTAATCTTTATCTTGGATCATGAGGAGGGGACAAAGACAACAAGGTCGGAATTTTTCATTTGCAAGTTTCACCTTGCTTGAGAATCTAGGCAAAACTGAATATTGTTATGGCTTCAGGAAGGGACTGCCTATCCTGGGCACCAAGGAGAGTGATAGTTCCCTGCTCAGTAAAGAGTTGATAGCAGGAGATGCCATTTCTCTTTGATCAATAGCGTGAAAAGAGAACTTGGTCTCATTGCCAGCTGTATAAAGGAATCTCTAGTAAAGAGCTAGGAAGAATACGTATCTTACTAGTGGAAAGTCCCTCGAGGAAGATAGAGCTGCAGAAGTCTCTAGTAGTAGGTACCTATCTAGGATTAGCTGTGGGATACAGCAAAGGGTGTATCAACCTTTAACTGGCGGATAGCAAAGGGGCACATGAAAATACAAGCAAACTGACTACAGATATAAGACTAACTGTTCAAACATCTGCATTTGTTAGAAGTCCAAGAGGTTTGCAGATTGAAGGGCGTTGGCATTGAAACTTCATAGTAAAAATAATCACTATTAAATGGTTCTTTATTCTGCAAAGTGGTTGCATTGATTGCCACAAGCAACTGGCTCTTCCAGGAAATACCAATATTTAAAAATGGGTAACTTGTTCTGAGATGGATTTGTGTTTGTAGGAAGTGTTTAGGTAATGGTTACATGCTTGGAATCAACTCGCTGTTTAGAGCATTATCGCTTAAGTCTTTGCTGTGGTGAGGAGGCCAGACCGTGGAGTTAAATGCAGCTACATCACAAATTATAATTATACTCTTAAACTGTAATCAGTTGTAAAGTTTGGGGGCTAAAGGCTCAATAGTGACATGTGGCCTTATTAAAGCTAAAAGATTTATGACATTAGTCCTGGAAGATTCTACAGCTTTGTTCCAGCCTTGTGCTCTTCTGACAGACACATTGTCTTAGGTTGTTTTTTTATCCATTTCTTTACCCTAGAGACAGAAAGCCCAAAGCAATTGTCTGTACGCACTTTAAAGCTTCGAGAAGGGGTGACCCAAAGACTGCAGCACATGTCCAGCTACAGAAGTCAAGCTGATGTGATGTCAAGCTGATGTGATGTCAGGGCTGGATCTAGCAAAAGTATAACATGATGTTTATGCAGTGATTTGTACTGTTCCGTGTTGGGAGCACTTGGGAGAGAAAGACTGTAGGAAACTTCAAGGAAGGAACATTTCAGGAGGATTAAGGCAGCTGCAGATCATTGATTTGGTACAACTTTGTTGTATTCAATGCAATCTGAACTAAAAAGTTGGGTGGTGGGGTTTAATTACCTTTCTGTTCAAATATTTGTTGTTAAATCTTTTCTCTCCATTCTTCCCCTTGGGAAAAAGTCATCTAATACTTCTATGGTACTTTTACTCCAGAAACAACTAAGCAATTCACAAAGGCTAGCAGACAGCATGTTTTTTTATGAAATAAGTAATCCTTATTTCCAGTTTATACATGGGAAGAACAGGCTTGGGACTAGACTTGCCCTTAAAAGACATGAGTGAGTGACCTACATAAAACAGGACTAACATTGGGAGTTTTATTCCTTTCACTTGACTTTATCCATATTGCAACGTAAAATAACTTCTTCCTTATTCTTTGGCTGCCTAACTGCAGCTTAGTTTTACTAATTGAACCCCAGCTGCCCTCTCTGCTGGAGAACACTCTTGCAGGAGCGCCAGCACAACATACTTTCCCCAAATCCGTTTGCCCTCGTGGAGGTTTTGGCCTGCATTCTCTCTCACTAACATTAAAATAGATCCTGCTGCTAAGAACACAGTGGATGGCAGCATGCTTCTTGCCTCTGACAACAGAGCCGGTTGGTACCTATGAGCTTACAGAGCTGTAAGACAAGTCTGACCTCTGTGGTTTTTTGGAAGAGAACCATGTGTGATTTTCTCTTGGCTTTTCTGTCCAATCCCTCATTCTCCCTCCCTTTGCCAGGAAATCCCTTCTCCTGCCATCAGGAGCCAGAGGAATGTGCTGTTTGTTTACCTTCTCACTCCTTCATCCTACTAACCTTCCCACCCCTCAGATGTAATCCTAACAGGCTCGGCTCAGCCCTTCATCCTTCTGACAGAGCACGACTCAGTTGAGTATTTTCAGATAAAAGGATTGCTGCAAGAAGCTGTTCTAACCAGGGTCTGCTTAGTGGGGGTGAGGCCATGGCATTCTGCAAGGCTGGGGCTGTCCTTTCGCCTGTCTTTCTGTGCCCTGGCTGGCAGCTGCTTTGTTCAGTGTCGCTGCATGTCATCATGATGTGCTACAGGATAGCAGGGAAGAGCACGCTTCCCAAGCTTTTCCCTTTTCCAGCATTCCCCTGCATGGTTTTGCCTTTTTGGGCTAATAAGCTAGGAGTCTTGATGTACCCGCTTCTCATCCCTACTGCATGAACTGAGGGAAATCTTCCCTCCCAACAGTATTGATATCTTCTAACCTGACCTGCTATTGCTATTCCAGACTGCTAAACTCTGTTGTTCTGTCCCCTTTCAACAGTTCTGGCTCTAAAAACACCTGTAAGGCATTTATTATTTTTAAAGCCATCTGAAATTCTTGGATGAAGATGTTTGAACTGCTTAGAAGGAAAACAACCCCACACACTTAGTGTAGTTGATGTAGTTGCTAAAGGTAGAAGCTTGTTTTCTGGACTTGTAGTCTGCCACCATCCCTGGTTACAGAAGCCCTTAAACCAGAAACCCCAAACTGTTTCCACAGGGTTTTATAATAATCCAAATGAGTAAATCCAGTGTTTACAGCACTTAATGGAAATTGCCATTTTGAAACTCTCCCCTCTTTGATCTATTCACATACTTTGTCTTATCTGACTTTAGCTGATTGGCAAGGATTATAAATCCCTTAAACAGGGACTGTCCTTTGTTTTGCAGCCTGGACAGTGTCTGGGCTTTCCTGGGTAGCTACATGTATAGCTTGAATTTTATTTGTCCTGC